GTAAGATGCCCTACAGTCTTAAGCCTAAGGTCTGGGGAGTGTGATTTCCTGGACGATTAAAACAAAACAAAACAAAAAAAAATCAATCATTTTATCTTTGATTATACTCTCCTAATTGGGTGTTTAAGATCATTCAGGTGGCCCGAATTAACCTTTTTCCTGTCAAGGTGAATTAAGAACTTACTTGATCTTCCCGTGTTCTTTTTACCAGTTGTTGCATCTAGGTGGGAGCAAGTCAAAGGCTTTGCCTGCAGTGGCTTGTTTGCAAGCATTAAAGAAATTCCCTCTGTGTTGACCCTCTTCTCTGTAACATAAACACCCTCTAAAGTCTACCCAGTAGGGTCTACATGGCCTACCTGACTCAGCAGGGAGGCAGCACATTTTGAGACATGATCTCCAGACCACTGGGACCTAATTGCCCTTAAAGGGCAAAATAGTTTCAATTTTAATCCCCCTATCCATAGCATAGGCTTTCAAGAATGGTCACTGAGCACACAAAAGGCCAGTGATACCAGTCAGGTACTTTTAATGTCTGTGTAATAGGCATAAAAAGCTTGGACAGAAACCAAATGCTTGTAAATGAATCCTGCTTAGACATATACATTCATTCTTTTAAGCCAGTACTTTTAACTTTTACCAAGAGAACTCTAGCTCTAAGTAGGGGTTTGATAGCACTGTATTGAACTTTGACCTTTGATAGTTAAAAACATACATACATAATCTTTAAATCATACTGTGGTGGTTTGATAGGGAGTGGCCCTATTAGGAGCTGTGGCCTTGTTGGAGTGGGTGTGGCCTTGATGGAGAAGTATGTCACTATTGGGGTAGGCCTTGAGATCCTCTATGCTCAAGCTACTCCCAGTGTAAAACACAGTTCACTTCCTGTTCCAGATCAAGGTGTAGAACTTTCAACTCCTTCTCCAGCACAATGTCTGCCTGCGTGCTGCCACAACAACATGGACTAAACTCGAAACCGTAAGCCAGCCCCAGTTAAATGTTTTCCTTTATAAGAGTTGCTTATATGATGTGGTCATCATATCTCTTACTAACACACCTATATTATAATACATAGTATAATATATGTAATGATATGTGATGATATATAATCATATGTGTGTGTGTGCGTGTGCATGTGTGTGTGCGTATGCGTGCGTGCGTGCGTGTGTGTGTGTGTGTGTGTGTGTGTGTGTGTGTGTAACTTACTTAGGCCTTAATGACTTGTCTATATTTTCCAGTTTCTGCTTTTATCTTTAAAAGTCCTAAATGTGTAAGATATTGAAGCCTTTAATAGTAGAATTAATTCTAGACAATGGAACGTCTTCATGTTAGTTGGTTTGAGAGAGAAAGGCTGATGACAAATTGTTGGGGGTTTTATCCTTTAAAATTTTTTGTTTGTTTATTTACTTACATTTGAGGCAAGTTCTCACTATGTAATCCTGATTGTCCCTACACAAAGTAAGATCAGGCTGGCCTTGAACTCATGGAGCTCTTCCTACCTCTATTTCCTGGGGTCAAAGGCATGTACCACCATAACCAGCATAAATTTTAGTTTTACTTTTAGAGTATAACACAATTCTGAAACATTTCTAAAGTTGGATTATGTATTTTATTAGAATGTATGAAGTGTACAAAGAATTGGACTTCATTATAAAATTTTCCTATATGTACACGATCTACTTCAATCACATATACTGAAATTACTAGCCCTTCCACACCCCAAGGTTACTTTCTCCTGCTTGTATTCTCACATTTTTTTAAAATACAGATATAATACATGAGAGAAAACATAGCATAGTCATCTTTCTTAGTCTTAGTTTAAATTTGCTTTATAAAGATAAAATGGAAGAAAATCATAAACATTACAAAAAATAAGCCATAATGGCAAAGCCTTGTTGATATTTTGGTTGTCTTTACAGTAATACTTTTTAAAAATAAATATGCAGTAATACAATGTTATAATTATGTGCTACCTAATACTTAGGTTTGGCTTTTTCTAACTAATCTCACTTATATTCATTGTGCTGGGTTGCTTCATGCTACTGATATTAATCAGTGTCAATGGTTGCTAATAAAGTCTGTGATCCATTAGTCTCAAATTCAGTACAGAGAAGGAAAGAACAATTATCCATTTTCCACTATTATTCAACACAGATCTTTGAGCCAACAGTCAAGAATGCATATGGCTCCCTTGCCAGAAGCTGTCCTTCCCAATCATGGCTTTTCAAACTGTATGCCAGAGGCAGGAGAGCTGTGGCTTTGGACTCTGCAATGGGCAAAGAGTCAGCAAGGTCTACATTCCAAGTGAAGGGAAGGGGTCTCTTAAGAGACGCAGGAAGGTGGCCTAGGTCAGCCAACTCACATTTGGCTCATACTGCTGTGGACAGGTGCAGTTATCATCTGACAGGCATTTGGTGGCCCAAATGAACCCAACTGTTCTCATTCCAATTCCTAGGTCACAGGTGTACCTATCACTAAGTAAGAGGGCGATGCCTGTAGCTGGAGTTGGCATTAGCTAACAGCATTACCTGTTCAGCAGGACGGCTGTGAGTTCATGGCTGTGAAGGGGCTTGATTTGTTCTGGAACAGCCAGAGGCAGTGATGAAACTATGTGAAAGTATGACTCCCAAAAACTTGTCCAAGACACTGGAATTTCACTCTTGGACACACGCCTGTGCACATGTAGGAGGCACAGAGGTCCTTGTGCATGTAGGTCAACACTAGGGTATTCTGGAATGTTAAACACACATGGCTGCTCCTTCAGAGGAAAGGATATATAACCTGTTATCCTCCCAGAATGCTGGGAGAGGGTGTGGCAATAACCTGATGACCTTTGCGCCATCTGTGTGGCAGGAGACCATGCCAGATCCTTGCCCAGACCTTTATCATAGGCTGGCTTTCTTAGTCAATCCATAGAATCCGTCTTACTGGAAGATGTGACATGTACTTTACAAAGTGTTTCAATGTAGTCATGTCTGATCTTTGTTTAGCTTACTTTGTTCCGTGAAGTCCTCAGTGAGATTTATGTGAGCTTTTTTGTGAAGCCGAGATCCAGTTAATTATCACCAGGAAAGTTTTTGCCAAATTGTTCTGTGCTTAAATATGCCTCAAATAAACTCTCAGACTCCTGAAGCTTGAACCAACACCAGCTACTTAGTCATGTCGAACGGAACTGCCTTCTTGTCTCCCACGGATCATTATTCTGCTGGCCCTGCAGGTGGGAGAGACCCCTGTGGGTGGAGTCTATGGATGGGCTACATTAGAATCCTCAGACTCCAGAAAACCAGCCATGGCAGTTAGCTGTCTCTCACTCATAAAATAATGGAGAGAAACAATTTAAAAAGAATAAAGATTTACTCTGACTCATGGTTTCAGTCCATAGTTGGCTGGTCCCATGACATTGGGTCTGTGGCAGGAAAACATTCTTGTAGGAGCAGAAGAGGTTTGTTCTCCCCATGGTGGCTGAGAAGGTTCAAAAAGGTCTAGAGCCCTAACATCCCCATTCAAGGAGATACTCACAATGACCTAACTTCCTGTCCACTTCCTAAATGTTCCAACACCTACTAATAGGACCACTGTAGGTGCCATGTCTTCAGTACTGAAGCCTTTGAGAATTACTTCTTTTGAGCGAGGTAGTTTTGTTTGTTTGTTTGTCTGAGACAGGGTTTCTCTGTATACCTGCCCTGGCTGTCCTCACTCTGTAGATTAGGCTGTCCTTGAACATACAAAGATCTGCCTGCCTGCCTCTGTCTCCAGAATGTTGGGGTTAAAGGCGTGCGCCACCACTGCCCAGGAGAGAAGCTGTCTAGGAGGATCTCATTCTGCATCTCATACTGTCCGCCAAACCCATAGCAATCTTCCTGCCTGGGCCTCCCAAGTGCTAGGATGAGCCCGCCCCTACCGCACTAGGAAACCCCAACAGCCAGATAGCAAACATCCATCAGGCCTTCCCCCAGCTAAAAATAAATATGTGATCAGCTCTATTTCCAACTCAAGTGTCACCTCTTCCTCAACACTATCCAAAACAAATCTCTTATCATCATCTGTCTGTCTAGTACCCACTGGAGAGTCTGTCTAGCTGGGCTATCACACAACTTTATAGTTCCACATAGCTAGGCTAGTACCTGGCCATTGCCTTGGAAGCGCCAGCTTCCTGTTATGTTCCGAGACCATGGAAGAGACTCCAGGATTTTTCTACTCCCTTGTGTCAAGACAAGCCTCAGTCTCTCCATTGAGGAGTTTACTGAATCAAAGAAACCAAACATGTGGGTAGAGAAAAGGAAGACCGCAGAATTGAGCAGGTGGAGAGGTCGTCAGTCTATTGTGGCTGTTGCGGCTCTAAATGATGTCATGGAAAAGCCTCGGAAGCTGTGATGTCTTTTCAAAGATACCAATAAATCAGGTGCAGCCCATGGTGCTTGCCCTGTGGCCTGTCCTAGAGCAGGGCTATAACTGGGGTGCAGCATCTCCCTTATCCCGTGCACAGTTCCAGGTGGAGACTCAATTGTTCTGTTGTGAGCCAGCATTGGCTCACCCTCCATGCCAGGGAACATACCTAGGAGTTGGGTAGCAATGATGGGAGCACAGGACACAGCTATGGAGGAAGAGCCAGCCTAACAGCTGAAATAGGAGAGCCCAGGGATGCTCTTCCCCGATCTCCTTAGTTCTCCCACCTCCTGGCTCAGGCTTCCTAGATGTTTACATCCGAAGACCTTAGGAACCAACCAGAACTTCCTCCTAAACCGTGACCTAAGGAGAATGCCTAACTTCTCTAAGCCTCAGCTTTTCTCTCTGAAAGGCTAATACAGCGTGGTATTTAGAAATCTGGTGAACACATTTTTTCATTAAGAAAAGGGTAAGGATTTCCATAGTAAGACAAGTATTCTCATTGCACTCGTATACATTCCGGGAAGAGTATTGAGCAAAGGGGACAGGATTTTGAGTTACTCATCTGTGGTGCTGAAAGGGGTTGTGGTGGAACCTAAGGTTCCCAGATCAGTTACCTGGAAATATTGCCACAGATGACTGAGCATGGCTGAGTGTTGTGCAAGTATCTGATGGCTTTGGATGCTCCTATTAATACACCGATTCGGATGTGCCAGGAAAGTGGGGCCGTGTTATCCTAAAAACAAACAAAAAGCCAAGAGGAGTTGGTTTGGTTGTATTTTCTTAGTGCGAATTACCTATATATCCACTATGGGAGTGCATGCTACCAAAGCGGTAGATGGCAAAGTGGAGTGAGAGGTGAATTGATATTTCAATTTGCTACAACCTATCTTTAATTCCAAATGGGTTTTCCTCATGGTTCTGGGGCACGGATTCTCAACCTGTGGGGTTCGACTCCCGCGGGGTTCACCTATCAGATACCCTGGTTGTCAGATATTTACATTACAATTTGTAGCAGTGGCAACGTTACAGATATGAAGGGGCAATGAAATAACGTTATGGCTGGGGCTCAGCACAACACGAGGAACTGCATTCAAGGACGGAAGCGTTAGGGAGGTTGAGAAGCACGCGCTTAGGGAAATACCCAACGGTTTTGACGTCAGTTTAGTCAAACTGCAGCCAGTGGGCCCAGAGTACAGTCCAGCAGTAGGATCCTTGCTTAGTGTGCATGAGACCCTGGTTTTGGTCGGCCCAGCTCTGTGCCCACCTAGATACCACATGCTAAGAGAATGACGATTCACTGTCACAAACCATTAATAAACGCGCTTGCAAATACTTGGCAATATTACACAGAACCCAGCAACTCATGTATCCAGGCAGTCTTCCAGAGAGGTCCTCTGCTTCCCTGGGGAACCATTCCTGAATATTCTCCCATATGTGCATTCACCTCACCTCTCAGCTCCCTCCAGAGTCAACAGCTCCCCTGTAGCCCAGGCTTTAGCAGGTGAAAGGACCTGAGGGATCGGTAGCCACGACTTACGGTACACTGCAGCCTATCGAAGAGCGTCCCATTGCTCATGTATGGATGAACCAGACAGAGCTTCTCCATCTCGGTGAAATACGCAGCCAACTCAAGGATGTGGGGATGACGGAACCTTGAACAAGAAGGTTTGAAATCATCAAATCAGACAGAAGGTGGACAAGACAAGACGCTAATCAGGAACAGTTCCCACGGGAGACTAAGTTAGGCCTAGAGACTAGTAGTTTCACTGGAACGCTCCACCCCTTTTAGCTGACTGCTGGCATGTAAATAAAAGCAATAGATTAAAATAGGAGGTGGGCATTTGAGGAAGCATTGATTTCCTAAAGTCTGGGATACGGAGAACTTCATACAAAAAGGAAAACATGATCCCATCTTCAGCTATTTTCGCTGATATAAAACAGTGTCACACCTTTGTTTTGTTAAGCAAATAATGGCAATGTGTTTTGTTAAGCAAATAATGGCAATGCCGCTGAGATCTATCTGGTTAAAGATACAAAGCAAGTAAATGACAAGTTCCCAGGGTTAGAGAAGGCTGTCTTCACTCATTCATCAATGGGGCATTGCTACATCAGGTGCTGGCTGAAACCCAGTGGCCAGCAGGAAAGAGTTAGCCATGTCTTTGCAAAGCTTGCCTTGTTATCTAAAATCCACACAATAGTAGCTTGAAGTAGAAAACTATGACACTGACCTTAAATTACAGATTTCTACATTAGTATACTATGTATCTCTTAGGCTCTTGTCCCAATCAGTATTGACCAATTAACCAGAATAAACACTAACCCTTGGATGCCTTTGCCTTATGGAGATCAATACACGCCGGGTGTGACAAATAATTTTCACTGTTGATTTTATTAGATTAGGGTCACCAAGGGAAAGTGCTGCTTGTGGACCTGGGTCCAGAAATGAATAAAAAGAGTAAGGCCAGCAGACCACAGAACTCATGTTTGCGCGCTTCCGGACTGTGGACTCTAATGCCAGTCACCCCATCCTACTACTGTGACTCCCTGCCATGATGGATTGCACTCTCAAACCATGAGCCAGAGCAAGCCTTCAACTACGTAAGTCCCTTTTTGTCAGGTGTCTTTAGCAGCAGCAACTAAAGTGCAAATGCACCAGGTAACTGCAGAACGTGAAATATGCAAAGACTGTGAGCTCGGTTTAATATACTGACTACATACTACATCTTGGGCACGATTGGGAACATTAAAATAAATGGAGCTGTAAAAAAATTGCTCTACTTATAAAGGTCTATAATTTGCTTGTTTGGTAGCAGATTTCCTACAAACACAAATATACTCTGTTAATACACATGTATAGATTTACAATTTATATATATTTATCTGGTATGATGGGGGAGGTGGTGACTACTTTATCTCTCTTGCCTCAAATGAGCCAACACCTATGTGTGTACATCTGTATCTATAAACACATACACAAATAACATGGAAAAACTTTCATTTTAAAACGTTTCGAGAACAGGATCCATGCACTTTGTTATGATTCAGATTATACAATGGAAAAGAGTGGGCTAGTAATAAATTGAGGAGGTACGCCAAGCTGCTTAAACAGATAATCTGTACCACTGGCTGGCTGGTTCTCCTGCAACCAAAAATAATGCAAACAGAAGCGTCTCTTGGAAAGCAGTAGAGAGGAGACATCATAAAGGCAAAGCATTCCACGATTCCAGTTTCATCCCAGCCTGATCTACAGAGCAAGTTCCAGGACAGTCAAGGCTACATAGAGAAACCCTGTCTCCAAGACCAAAGCCAACCAAACAATTGGATTAAAAAAGGAAAGAAAAGAAAGCTCAAAGTTTGGTAGATAGGGAGGAGAAGGTAGAAAGGGTAGACCTAGGAAGAATGAGAAAATGGCAGTAAATATGACAAAAGACATTGTATGGACCCTCAGAGACTTAACATATTATTTTTTATGACCATATCACCTGACAGTGTAGAATTATACCCTTGGGATTCAAGAATAGCACAAACCGCACAAAGTGACATTAACCAAGTAAAGGTAAAAATGTCACGTGATCATCTCAATACATGCAGGAAACGCATTTATCAAAATTAGAAGCCCTTCAAGGCAGAGCTCTCAATGAATTGTGGAGAGAAGGCACCTCAATATAATAAATGCTATATATGTATGATAAACTGGTAACTAATGACTACTCACCGGGACAAGTGTGTTTTCCTTAAGGAGTGGGAATGAGTCCATACCCACTTATATGTAGCATTGCAATGCAAATCCAAACTAGAGCAAGTAAGCAAGTAAAAAGGAAGGAAGGTGTCTGAGGTAGGAAGGGGGCAGTTACATTGTCTCGGTTTGCTTGTTACATGATCTCCTATGTAGGAAACCTGAAAGACTCTACCAAAAAAAAAAAAAGTGGCTAGAACTAATGAATTCACTAAATTCTTCCAATACAAAATCAACTCGTAAAATCAGTGTTATTTCTCTACATTCACAATGAGCTACCTGAATAAAGAATGAGGAGCATTGTTCCTAAGACATCAGGAAGAATAAAACACTAAGGAATAAATTTAACTACAGAGATAAATGATCTGTGCACTTAAAACTACATTGGGAAAAGAATTACAGACACACACCAGCAATTGGGAACATACATCTGACATCGAGCATTACAAGAAGTAATCCTGCCAAATTGTCCAAGCTACCCAAGGTAAGCCACAGGTTTGATGTTATCACTACCAAAACTGCAACATTTTTTTTCCACTACAAGATAAACCCTAAAACCCATATGAAACCATAAAAGACTTGAAACACTCAAAGTAATGTGAGAAAGCAGAGCTCACATTTAAAGTAGCATCGAGATGCTTTAGTAACCAAATCAGTATGCATTGGCAGAGAGCAGGCCCACCTGTCCGGGGCACAAAATGGGGGCTCCAAAGATAACCCAATCCATACATGCATCATTAGCTAAAATCCTGATTAGGAGATATAAAAAAAATGCACAAACAAAGGGGAAAGAAACATCTTTTCAAGGAATGGTGCTAAGGAAAGAACAAGTCTTAAAACACATATAAAAACTGACTTGGTTGATGCGTCAGAAATTTAAATAAAGCATCTGACAGTATTGGGCCCTAAACCCTAAAACAAAATTTCTTTCACACTGGCATTGGCAATGTTCTTCTTTTCTTTGACATTGTGCAGCATTCGTGGGTTAAACAAGATGTGATGTTTAAACCTCTCAACAGAAGGACGTTTGGGAGCAGCACAGAACAGAACGTGGCAGGAAGCAGATTGATCCACCGTGCTGTGCTGCCTTTTGTGGGAAAGCATGAAGTAAGAAACCAAACTATTTATCGCTTGTGCTTCTCAGATTTTGAGATGTCTGAACCTCACCTTCACAAATAAACAAGTGGAACCGTAAAAATCTATCATCACAGCATCTGGATTGAATGTACTTTATCAGCCACTAATATTAGCTTCTAATTCTAGTCCCTGGCCCTGGCCATACAAGGGACAGGATGTAGTATAATGCTTCTCTCCCTACTTTCCTCTCCATCTTGAAGATCTGCTCCAAAAACACCAGGGGAAAGCATCTTCTGTTTGCAAGGGGTGGTGAGTTCCCCAGTGTTAGCGGCCTCCACTGGCAAAAGGTGCACAGCTGCCCTTACAAAGAAGTTCTATAGAAATGAAGACATTTAAAAATTGTCATCCCGGGACTCCCAGATTCATGAATGAATTCCCAGGAAAATCATATGCACATCAAAAGCCCTTGATTTCTTTGTCTAAAACTCTCTTTCTGAAGACAGCCACTCAGATGAAACAGTCTCTCAACTGAAACTTCTCTGAGGGAGGGGAAGGGGGCACGCATGTCATGCTAAGAGTTACTATTCAGCAGTGTTAGTCACACACAATTTAACCCGCTTACAATTTCTTGTTTCAATGTGTCCAAATGAATCAAGGAAGTGCTCTATTTTGAAGTTTGTTTTAAGGGACACACCAAAGCAGATGTACCCAATGTTCTTAACATCCAACCCACATTAATTAAATGCCAGCCAGGCCAAACACGGCTGTAAGATCCAAGATGAACAAAATGCACTCACAAGAGTAAAACTTCCAGTTCTGATAGAAATCTCTTCCAGTGCTTCTTAAACTGCGGTCTTTTCTCCTGAACGTCGTACAAGAAAGAAAAAGAAAAGGGTTTAGGAGCTAGCTCTCTACTTCTGAGAGTCTTTGTCTATGGAGTTTCCCTGTTTGACACAGTTGAGCCCCCACTCCCAAGCCCCCCCAGGGAGAGAGTCCTTAGTATTCCTCAGATTTTCAAAAATGTTTCAACTCCCAGACAAGACTTAAAACCATTACTCTTGAGTTGAAAGTTTTCCTGCAATCTGCCGCCATGTTGCAAATCTCATATTCAAGCAAACCAGTTTCAGACATTTACATAAATTCTAAAGTATTGTGTATTCATGGAAAATTCTACAATGATAGCAACTCCTTACTGATCTCTCTCTCACACACACACAATTATGTTACCTGTGTTCTTTGTAAACTTCTACTATTTTAGCATTTTAAGAGGTGGCTCATTTGTATATGTCCATTCAAATTTATTTTTGCATTAATTTTGAAAAGATGTGCTTACTGTCAAAGGAAATTATAACTTCTCACTACAAAGTTTCAAATCTAGACAAGTGGTGCAGGGTTTTAATCTCACTGCTCAGGGGCCAGATGCATCTCTGTGAAGGAGGCAGATGCATCTCTGTGAGACTGAGGCTAGCCTGGGTCTAAACAGTAGACTGTCCAATTGTTATTCCCACCACCATCATCATCACCATCATCATCATCATCCCCACCATCATTATCATCACCAAAATCATCATCACCACCACCATCATCATCACAACCATCACCATCATCATCACCATCACCATTATCATGACCACAATCATCACCACCACCACCATCATTATCTAGCCAAAGTCTAGGCATATGAGAATTGAATAAATAACTTCAACAACATTGTATTGAGCACTTGGGTAGTAGATGGCATGTCCTTCGTGCCATCAATGTTGTGTCACTATACATTCCTGGATCTCAAGTTCCTTGTTTCTAGCATTAAAATGTTGCATTAAGATGCTCCTAGGTCCTAGCTAGAAGGTCCTCAATTGCAACTTGCTAGAAATTCAACTATTTTGATCTCTATTGCTGTAGAAATCTAAGAGGAATTTTGGGTACCACTGTCCGAATTGAATTAAAAACAATTAACCTGACTGGCTAATCATTTCCAAGGACTACTTCATATCATCCCACATTTTGTAACTCTACTGAGGAAGACAAGGTCTCTCCCTTGCGCTTACTGTTTCTCAGTCACAGGTTTTTTGTTTGTTATCTTTTTTGTTTTGTTTTTGTTAAACAAAGGCACCTCTGTTGTGTCTCTACAAAACCTGGCATTTCTGAACAAAACACTTCATGTGGGCTGGACACTGCTGAGGAACACTAGCTCTTCCACGGAGCTGCTGCCAAGACCTGCCAAGTCCAAACCAACAATTGTAAGATGATGTCCAGGTGACTGGACATTCAGTGGAGTTGAGAAGGACAGATCTGACCACCTGATAAAATCTCCACTTCCAGTCCCTTGAGAAATGCCACTAAAGGCACCATCCCAGTGTTTCAAAATGCATTCCTTTACAAAAGCATGTAGTTAATTCATTAAGGGGCCTTGGTATGATTATGTCTTCCATTTGCCTGTGTATGCTGGGTGAAAAAAAAAAAAAAAGGTGTGTGGGGGGGAACCTGCACTTCCACTTTCCGTCTTAAGAGGGAGCTATACTGTAGGGTCACCAGGTACAACAGGACTTTATACTGCTGAATTCTTGAAAATGACCTGTATGGCCTTCCTTTAAGCCACTCATCCAACACCCATTGAGCAAGGACTAATGACAGATAGCCCTGCAATAAGGCTCTGGGATGCACAAAGAGATGAGAGTTCTCAAGAGGAAGTCTGTCACTCTGGTGGGAAGTGCATTGAAGACTTTGTTACCAGGGAACGAGGCGGTGATGTTGTAACTGACTTGGGTCAATGAAAGCCGTGCAACACAATGGGATGCAACCAAGAGAGAAGAAAACAGAGCCAAAGAGGCAAGGGTGTGCCACCCCAAAGTAAATCTGGAGAAAACTTCCAAAGGAGCGTGCACATTGGTAGCCGCTGTAGCGGGAAGACTGGAGAGACCCTTCCGGGAGGCCTTAGAATTCAAACATGTGAGTATGCCAGTGGGACCAGTGACTTGTTGACAGTTAAAACCAACCAACCAGCAAAAAACTGGCTTCGACAGGGTCCCAAGGGCCAATATCCTAACATCCGGAACGGCTTTACAATCTGATTTCCTCCAGTAGATAGCCAGTCTCAGGAATCTCAATGTGTCTATATGAGATTACTGACACGAAATGTAATTTAAGGGCATTGACGAACTCGCTTAATAATTACATAAAAGCATCTCAAACATAAACGGCAAGCAGGGATCAGTTTAGATACCATCTGTTCTGTACTTCCCAGGCCTCAACACCAGTAACGAGGTTTGGTCCATTTCATTTTACTCCCTTGCCTTCCCCAATGGCTTTGCCTTAGCTTACGTTCTCAGCACCAGGCACCTGTTGGAAACTTCTCCAAAAATGTTTTGTGTCTCAGCAATGACCAGCATGACTAGATAGCCCTGAGGACCCATAGGGAAACTTGGTGGTAACCAACACCTCTCTAGTTGGACTTAAGACCGCTCAAGAAGAGGAAAGTCATTCCTGATACTGGAAACCGAGCCAACTGCCCAGGACTAGTAAATCTGGATTTTGGAGGAGAGCCTACAACAGCCACTTTACTAAATCAGTGTAATCCTTGGCTACATTCTAAATATTTGTCCTTATAGCCACAGTTAAGTGTAGCTCTCACCCCTCAACAAAGAACCTTCTCTTTCCAACAAATGGAGATCACTATAGAAAAACACAATCTGCCAAAATGCAAAACCCAGTTCCAATGGATACAACTACAAAACAATCACTAAATACAGCTCTTGCAGAGGACTGGAATTCAGTTCCCATTGTCCATATCTATCTGGCCTCCTCAGGCAGACATGTGTGTGCACACACACAGTTTGTGTGTGTATGTGTGTGTGTGTATGTGTATATATATATATATATTATATGTATGTATATACACACAACATAGTGTACTGTATATTGCATATAGTATATATATTGAATATATAATATATATATATATATATATATATATATATATATATATATTAGGTTATGGGACTGTGTTCTAGAAGGCTACGCCTGTCCCTGCCCTCTCCCCATGCCCCTATCTTGGCCATCATGAGCTGAGCAGCTGTCCTCTCCTTAGGTCTACTACAGTGCTCTGTCTCACCACAGGCCTGAGCACAAGGACGCCAACTGAACATGGCCTGAAATCCCTCCAACTTAAGCCTTTCCTGCTGAAGTGAACTCAGGCAGGTGTCTGTGGTGGTGACAGAAAACTGGCACACTCCTACCAAAGTCTCTTCTTCCTTGCCTTCCTGAGCTCTGCTAAAAGATCATCCATAAACGCGGTCATCTGTAGCATACACAGCTCTGAGGCTATGGGAGAAGACTACTGGGACTAAGCAGGTGTGGACAATCTGGTTCCCCCTCCCCCTTTGTTTGTTTGTTTGTGTGTTTTAAGAAAAGGTCACATTGTGTAGCCTTAGTTTCTTTGTAGGCCAGGCCGGCTTTGAGATCACAGAGATCTGCCTGCCTCTGCTCCCTGCTCTGGAGATTAAAGCCACATCACCCAGCCAATCTGGGTTTCATTAAAGTTTCCTGGGGCCATGAATGGCTTCTAGAAAAGCCTTTCTCATACCACACATGTGGGGATGAGAGGTTTTGCTTCCCCCTTTAGAACATGCATCTGTGCCTTAGTCATTTCTCAGCCTCAACCCCGTCCCAAGGTCAAACATCTCATTTGCGTTTGTGAAATTTTATTTTCAAATGTACGCCCTTTCGATGCTAGTGCAAAGCAACACATTTCCGTATGAGATACAAGCAAGTCCTTGGAGCTGACGTCCGTGACAGTAACTCATTCCGTACCTGTTTAAACAACTTAGCAGCATAGGCTTTGCTTTGAATCTCCACCTTGTATACTTCAAATATCTCCCCTTCCCCAATTAGGAAGTCTTTGTGGAAATGGTTGGTTCCTTCTATGACATTCTGGAAGCTTATAGAGGGTTTGTGCAGTGTTCCTTAGGAGGGAAGAAAGGGGGAGACAATGAGCCATCTCTTCCAACAACCAACACCACTGTTCCAAGTGGGGTGTGTATACTGAAAACACATCATCAGGGCAGAAGGCCTGTGAGCCAGTCCTGGAAGGCCACAGTGAAGCCCGCAAGGGTTCTCTGGGCATTCGCTTGGGTCTGGCTCTCATCCATCAATACAGGGTGGGACTTCTGAGATATCTGAACGGCAGCATGATTTTTATCTTCAAAGAGATTAACCGAAGACGCTTAGCTGAGGCCATGAATCTAGAAATCGGTTTGTCCTTCGGTCCGTGCCTTGCTTTTGAACTAGTGGACTCCCGGGATGACTAAACAGTGCTTCCCCAGCATGGCTAATAGAGAAGCTTTTTGTCAGCCACAGCCTCTAACCACCTAGCTGGTTTCCTCAGAGTAAATGAAGACACTTCACCTTTGAAAAGATCACCCGGAGTAGGTGCTGGGTGAAGATATCTAGAGATAACCCAATGCAGATGTGAAAAGAGAGAGGTGTGACTCAGCTGTAGAGAGCTGGCTGAGCACTCCGCAAGGGAAGTTCAAGCCCCAGAGCTACAAAGGATAAACATAAAAAATAAAAAAGCATAGCTAAAGCAGAGCCTAATTCTTAACTGTTTTCCTACACACAGGCTCTAAAGACATTTACGATTTAATTTAGATATCAGCACTAAAGACTCAGAACCTGGTCTGCCTTTCCTAAGTCTCACTTAGCCAGAGAGTCTTCAAAGGTGGTGGAAATGACTAGCCAATGGCCTTAGGTGACCTCTAAGTTTTATCAGAATGACTCCGGGGTGGAACTAAGCCATTATCTCTACAAATAAAGTAGGGAAGCTAATATGAAAGACAAATGGATTTCCATTCTGACCCTCAGCATTACCTAACAATTATCTCAAAAAGGCCTGCACATCTGCGAAAACTTCTGAAGCTATGGGAAGCTCAACAAAAATTTTTGAACATTTTCTTATTGTGCACAAAAAACAGGAAATACTGCTAACAAAGTCCCTCTATGCTCTCCATTAGCCAACGGATGATGGTGATGGTGATGATGATGATGATAATGACAATAATGATGATGGTTATGGTGGAGATGATGCTTTCCCCTACTTTTCCTGTTTCAGGGTGCCTGTGGCAAACTCATTTCTTATTTTCCCTTGATTGATGTACTAGTGTGTTTTATAAAGACAACTTCAGCCAGTGGATCCTTATATAACAATATGTCATCCACTAAGACTGTGTCTATCAAATTTTAAAACATTTAATACCTATGAAAATACAACACTAAATTGGAATATAAACAGTACGATTATTCATTATTTCCCCTTCAAACTCACTCATATGGGAGTATGATGTAATTAAATTGTGATGTGATTGTTTCTGTTTTGTTTTTGGTTTTTTGGTTTTTTGTTTTGTTTTGTTTTGTTTTGTTTTTTTACCTTTCTCATTATGTTCAGGAACAAGAACATTATCCGCTGAGACACTGGTTGGTTCCTGGAAGAGGAAATTTATATTAAGTAATTCCACTTTATAAGCCTAGGAAAAGCAGAACCCCGACAGAAACAGATAGCTTCCCGCGAGACTATAAGCTGCTGCAGAGCAAAGTCTAATTTAGGAGAAAGCTCACTTCACCCAATAGTATCCATTTCCTTGTAGATATGGCTTCCATGTCCACTGGGGGCAGCGAAGCATCAGTGCCAACAGTCAGTTACAGCCAGTGGTAAGTGGATTGTAAAGCTTAAAGTCACTAATGATTTGTTGTAATCAAAAAACCAAAAACCTAGCAACTCCATTAAACATCAGCCAGAAAAAGGAAATAGAGCAGAGTTAGAATGAGCGAGAAACTCACAGCTCCTTGGTAGCTCTAAGTCTCGGTTCCCATAGGCACTGGAAGGAGACAACACTTACTCCTCACATGTTTACAGACCTTAACTAAATACAAAAGGAGAGGCAGCCCGTTCCTAGTTCCACACACTGCCCGTGCATCCAGCATCTTTCCACCAGCACATTCAATCTCTATGAAAGGGTTTGTACCAGAGGTGCAGGGGCTTTTTCGTTACACACACGCTCTACATTGGGCGATGCATTGAGAAACTGCAGCTCGCGATGACGATGCTCAGAAGGATTGAAGCTTGCTCCTGCAATAGAAGTAAAGGGTATAGAAATATCTGTGTCTCCAATGTTCATTCACCCTGAGACCATGGAAATACATACTTCATTAGTAATGTCCATTTCTAAAGCTTGATTTCCTCAGACTGAAATGATCATAAATTCATGCCTGTGAAAAGTATCCAAACATAACTGTATTCACTTAAGACATGACTATGTACTTCTAAGTATTCTTAGTTATCATTAAAAATAGTAAAATATGAAAAGGAAAGCTTATGGGTAAATGTAATGCTGTTAGTTTCTGCAGATAGATATACCTGGTTTATTGTTTTTACTCTTTTTTTTATATTAAAGTTTCAGATTGTCATGTGCCTGCACACACATACATATATACATATTATCAATCACCAATATTCACACCCCTTCCCAAACATGAGCTATGATTTTTACTTTTTATAATTTGTTCACACGCAGGTGTTCTATGCAGCTTCCCCACAGAGATTAAAACACTTTGGGTTTTGCTGTCCTTTCTGACATTTTGAGTCAACCTTTGAAATTTTTTTTAATGTCTAGTTATTCTTATTTTCTAGTGGTTATCCAATTATTGTGTTTACAAATTGAACCTGTTCAATATCTATAGAAATTTCTTTCCACACATCCACCTCCAGAAGACACCAAGCATTGTCCAAAACAGACCATACACTGGACAATAAAATGAGCCTCAACACATTTAGAAGGTTTGAATCATGCAAAGCTCATTTTCTGAGCCCTGGGAAATGAAAGTGGAATTCAGCTATAAGGGGAAACTTGGAAAACCCAAGCAGCAGGAACATTAAAAATCGCTACTAAAGACAATGGCAAAAGGTAAATTTAAAAATATTTTGAGTGAATACAAAATTTTAAAAAAGCAACTTAAAGGAGGTAACACAGACAGGGTTTAGCGGGAAACCTGTTGTAACTGTAAACTTCTGTCTCAAAAAGGAGAAATATGTCAAACCAGTAGCATGTTTTCATTGTAAGTAACTATTAAAAAATAGCACTCACTCTGTAGACCAGGCTGGCCTCGAACTCAGAAATCTGCCTGCCTCTGCCTCCCATACACCACCACTGTGCCAGGACAGCCAGAGATACACAGAGAAACCCTGCCTGAAAAAACAAAGCAAAACAAACAAACAAACAAACAGAAAAGGCAAAGTAGCCAGGTGTGTGTCTTTAATCCAGCACTTGGGAGGCAGAGGCAGGCGATCTCTGCCTGAGTTCGAGGCCAGCCTGGTCTACAGAGAAAGTCCCAGGGGAGGATCCAAAGCTGCAGAGACACCCTGACTCGGAGGGGAAAAAAAGGCAAAGCAAATGAAAGGGTTCAGGTCAGAGTGGAAGTAGAGGATTTTCAAAAGGAGGGAGTCACAGAGAGCAAGGGAGGCGCTTTGAAAAGACCATCCAAGCTGACAGTAGTTTAAAAGGGATGAAAACAGGAGGGAGGAAGGAGGGAGGGAGGGAAGGAAAAGGGGCCGGAGGAAAGGAAGGGAAGGGAGAAGGGAGGGAGGGAGGGGAAGGAAGGAGCGGAGACGGAAAAAAGAGAGAGGCTCAAATTATTAAAATTAAGAACAAAAGAACAACAATCAGTACTGACTTTACTGAATCATCAGTGTTATAAAGGAATGCAAGAAAATAGAATAGACAGGAAATTAGATGATATGAACAGATTCCTAGGATTCGATCTACTAAAATTAATTCAAAAGATAACCTAAGTAGACCTATAGTAAGTTAAAATGTGATTGCGTTAGTGTTTTCTCACTCCTAACAGAGAAAGTGTTGGTTAATTCTGTCAACCTCATACAGTTTAACACAAACCCCGTACAGACTCTTCAAACTCAAGGACAGAACAACTCCCGGGTCATTATGGGGCCGACATTATTTGGAAATCAATGACAAACACAGCAAAATGCAGATCACTAACACTAATGAATATAGATTTTTTAAAAATCCTCAATAAAACACCAACAAACCAAACCTACAAATATGCAATGTATCACATGCCACAGCTAAGCGGGATTTATCCTAGAAATCCAAGATTTGCTTAAAATTGAAAACCAACTAACATAACACAATAGAATCAAGGATGCAAAAGTATCTGCTCATCTCAAGACTGTGACAAATAAATTGATAAAATCCAATATCCTGTCATGATAAAACAAAATTAAAAACCCTAGGAAAAGAAGGTAATTTCCTCAACCCAATGTAAGATATCAATGACAAAAAGCATAGTCTCATAATTAATGGTAAAAAACAAGATGTTTTCCCGTTAAGGTCAAGGACAGGGCAGGGCGGCTGCTTGGTCTGGCCACTTCTGCTAACCATTACATCAAGAGTTCTATCCAGAGGAGCCAGACAAGGCAAAGAGCTAACACACATGCCCTGGATCAGGCATTGCCGCATGCGCCTTTTCAAGACCGGGAACTGTACATGAGTTACAATTCGTCATCCTTTTGTTACTAAAGAAAACAAAGATAATATTGCACTGTCAGGAAATGACAGCTTCAAAGTAGTTCTTCTAAGGAGCTAGTAGAAAGCTGTGTATTGTGTATCAAAGCTACCAGAAAAAGGAAAATACTCATTTGGTGAGATAGCTCAGCTGCAGAGGTGCTTTCTACTCAAGTCTGAGGATCTGAATTCAATCCCCAGAAGCCACATGAAGAAAATAAAAGCCAAACAAACAAGAAACCAAGCAGCCAGGCACAGGCCTGCTTATAAACCTCAGCCCAGTGGAGGCCGACAGGCAGATCCAGCCTTGCCTGATAGGTGAGCTCCAGACCAATGAGAGACTCTGTCTTGAAAACCAAATCGATGACTCCTGCTGAAGGACACCCAAAGTTGCCTGCTTGTCTCCACACACACGCACCCACTTACATACACACAAAGCAAAACTAGAAAGAAAAAAAAACTACTGGTCATTAAAATATAAATGCAGTGTGTCCATCTGCATGATGGAAACATGATAGTAAACACTGACTGGGTTGGCTATGTGGTAAGCTCTGAGGGATGGCTTTAGAGTAGGAACGAAACCACCAGCCACAGTCTTTACTTGCATAGTAGCCCCTGGGAAGGCGTACCAGGCTTTCTCCGGGAGACTCAAAGGACAATTCAAATATAAGTGATGCCTAGAGGTTCAAATATGAAGGGTAGAACACACCTCTAAAATTAAAAGTAATCCACCAAAAAGAACAGAAGGTTTTAACAGTAAGCAATAAGAGATTATCCATGTAGCTGCTCATCCTGGCCGTGATTGCAAAGGCCGAGATGTCAGTGAGAACTGTGCGTCCTAAGTCAGGGAGTGACCTACACACCTGCTCAGCCACATCTCCACCGGAACCCCTGGAGTTCACTTCTAGGGGAGATAGGAGGTGAACTACCCTCCTACAAGCTCACACGCGAGCTAGCCTGGAACGTGGTGCAGAAACAAAGAACCAACTCCTGAAAGTTAGCCAGTTAGCCCGTGACAGCCACACTGGTGCTCAGCATGAATGAGGCGTGGAGAAAAAGAAACAGACAAGACAAACTCCAGTGACTGACAGACAAGTAAGGCATCGCTAAAGCCCACAGCCCCAAACGGAAGCATCATTCACATTCAAAGACCTCAGTACGTAACTGTCTATCTCTGGGAGATCCAATGTTGTTGCTCATGATGATAATATAATGAAATGAAAACTAACATTACATGTTTTTATTTAGATATTTTGATTCTTGCCCTGAGATTTAGACAAAAAGCCGATGCTATTAGTTGCTAAATGAAATGCTAAAGTTGCTTGGAGAGTGAGGCACGCCTTTGATCCCCACCTTTAAGAAGAGGGAGTGTGGCAGGTGCATCTCTGTGAGTTCAGTGGCAGCGTGGTCTCCAGAGCAAGTTCCGAAAGCAAAACCAACCAAACAGACAACAAAACGAAGCAAAGTAGGAGGGGATGGTTTGCATTGTTGACCAGGGAGGAAAGTGTCACATTCACAAACACAGGTCACTGACAGCAAGGCAGGCCAGTGTCTGGGTAAACACAGTATTCCTATTCAGAAATGACGAGCCCCACGGGATGACTGGAGAGTCACAGTATGTGGACACACTCACCGTAGGTCGTGATTAAATGGATAGCCCGTTGATGCCCCATCTCCTGGAGGACCTCTAAAAGGTCGCCGATTGTCTTGTTTTTCTGTGCCCAGGACCACAGCAATTCTCGTGTCCCACTTTTACCTCGCTCTACGTATTTTTCGATGTGACGGACATCCAGCCAGCTGTTAGAAAGTCTCTCCGCTGTGAAAAATGCGAAAGAAGGCAAGAATAGCTGACCTTTATCCAAACACTTGGGATTTATTTGTCTTGTCACCTTGTCTATTTTATGCCATTTGAACTGTTGCTTCATCGTAAGCTCGTTTAATTTATTAGATGTCCCTGACCTTCTGTCCATGTTCACATCACTATCCAGGACAAACTTGGCAGAACTAGTAACAATTGTACATTAGACTTAACTCTAGCTCCCCCCAGCTGTCTCGGCACTGGTCGATCTGTCTCCTCTCCTGTCCTAGAGTTTCTACATTGCATTTGTTCACCTCTGAGTCTGCTCTGCTCTCTGGATCCTCATCTTCCCAGTCAGCAGAAAACGGTGTGTCTTCAATGTGGTGTCCGCAGACTTGGTGCAAATGTCTGATTGCCATGTACGCTTATCTGCAGTGCTTTGTTACAGTGTTGTGTAGTAGTGATTGCTCTACTCCAAGCTATCCTTTTAACTAGGACGGAGAAGACCCTAAGAGATTCTGGAACCATCCTGCTTCTTCCCGGGTTTATTCTGCACTGCTCGGCGGATCTTGTTTATCACAATTGCAACTACAGTATGTTTACTTAGTAATGAGTTTCCTTCTGTATTCATTAACATTTTTTTCTGTAACTAAGAGGATGAACTCTTATTTATGCATTCACTCAACTTTTAGTGTATTATCAGTATGGACTTAAGGATATTTTATTCCTTAATGTCATTTTGTTATTAAAGTTGTTTTACTGAGTCCATCTAGGTAGGCTCTTGTCTTCTGACAAGACATGTATTTTTTTAGCACTTCCTAATTTTAGGGCTCTACACCAGGCTCCCAGTTCTTTTGTATTTCCCCCTTCTACGAGGCTGCAATTAATTGCTTGCCCAGAGAGCTGTAGTTTCTCTACCAGAAATGATGTTCCAAAGCTAAGATCTAGGACTTGAGCTTCGTCACTGACAGACCCCCAAAGCAAGTGTAGCTGACAAATGCTGTCATGTGATCCAACGTCGGTATTTCTCTAGTACCCCTGGTTTGAATCCAGCATTGCTGGTTACGTGTTTTTCCTCTTTTGTAACTTTATTCTTGAACAGTGAGAGACTGCTCTTGTGACTGACAATATTTCTACCTGTTTAGACCTACTGTAGGCATCAAGTACTTTCAGAATTGCTGAGCCACCTTTGTGAGAAATACACGAACTAAACTACTCAAGTACAATAGCTCCTGCTCCCCCAGGTGTAAGAGCAATCCAGTTAGGACCTTGTTTACCGACCACTTCAGTTAATTCTTTTCTTCCTCGCCTCTTTTTTGTGGCTGTGGCTCTTTTGTAATACGTTGTCCTTATTCTTACCGCAGTGGCTGTTTAAACATTTGTTCTGTAATGTCTTGGTGTTGAACATTTTTGAGTAACTAAAAGCTAACATCTGGGTGGGACCAAGGAATAATATCAGTGGGGTGCTATGCTTTTCATTACCCTGACTGAGCAGTGCATATGACTTAGAAGTGGTACCGGTGTTATATAAGATTTCATGGTACCCGACTTAACAGGATTTATCAAGTGAAAATTTGTGCCGTCTCACTGAACAACTCTGAAATGTTAACGCACACTGTGAAGCAAAAGAGAGAAAAGAGAAGGTACATGACAGAAGGAAAACATACTTGGTCGTGTGGTGATACCCCAGGCTAGCTCAGCCCTACTGAGTCCTAACATAAGCTGTGTGTTTGGGGACCAGGATGCCATTCCACCACACCTTTTCCCCCAAGAATGACCATAAAAAGTAGGGTCCTATGTGTAGGTCTGTGGGTGAAAGCCAATTAGCACCCAAGAATAATCGTGGGGCTCTTGATACACTACCATGACTGATTATTGGAACTCAGCACATTATCTCTCTGCCATGCTCAAACAAATACATGGAATAAACCCTCCAGCAGGGACCACAGTCACACCACTGGGAGATTCTACTGGCTGCTGATGTTATTCTTCAAAGGGCTAAAAGGGGCTCAGATCTGATAAGAACAAAACATTATGGGTCTTTCTTCAGTTTAAAATTGGTTTCAGAATCTCAGGTCTGTTAAACTCTTAGGGACTCACTCTTTTATTTATAGTGTTTGAAATCATATTAAAAAGACAGGCGTTTCTGCTTTGATAATGGCACCCTGTGCCCCCAAAGCTCCACTTGGCCAGAACACATGGTTGACTCCACTTTAGAGTCTTGTTAGTACCCTCAGTAGAGCCACAAAGTTAAAGGAGACCATACAAACCACTACGCCTGCCTGTTCTTTGAGATAAAATTAACCTCGCAGGTTAACTCCCAATTCTCTACCCCACTGTTAAATTTCCCTGCCTTGTAAGATTATGGATGTCCAAATGTCATCTCTACCAAGAAGCTGAAGATCCAGGGCACAATTTGCCAGGATTTTATCCCAGTCCTGGTGTGGGGCAAGCTCATGTCAACACGGGGTGACTAGGGAATGACACAGCTTGGCGCGCTGGGTCACCCACATGGTCCCTCCATGTCCTTTTGAGTAGGAAAAAAAACCACAGTTATGCTGCATTAAACCACTGAGATTTTGTTAGTGTTTGTTACTACAGCACAACTCCATCTATCCTGACCAATACAAACTTGCACCTTGAATTTTCTGTCATTTAAATGGCATCTTGTTTCAAAACAGAGTAAAGGGTAGTGACAGATTTTGTGACCACATATTAAGTGAGCAGGTAATTGAGACATTCAATTTGGAGGCATGTATAGCCTGAAAGAAAAAGATATACTCAACCCAATGTCACTGAGTTGAAGTGTCTTCAAGTTTCTTCTCTCAGGTCTTAAAAAAAAAAAGTTTGAGTTCCTTATGTCTTTTAAGGGTTAATGCCTTACAAAGAAAACGGAACTACATGGATACCAAACTCATATTTTGGATTACATTACAAAAACAAAGAGGCCTTTCAGGCAAACCTCTTGGCAAGAGGCAGTAATGCTGTTTTAATACACAGTTGGCTCTCCCTATCTGTGAGCTCCATATCCAGGAAATACAAGAAAATCGTTTTAGAAAGTTATATCACGAACTTTATTGGCAAGTCTCCACTGCTGATGAATCACTTACTTGAGTCATAGCACACTGAAAAAACTAAGCTGGTGTGAATCTGGAAGCTTCATTCCTACTCGCTTTCTTTCACAGTGCGGAAGGTGGTGTGCATGCACCAGACTAGTAACCAGCAGCCTTACCCAGCTAGCTAAGTGTGACAAGACATGCCCACTGAATCAAGAGTGACAAAAAAAAAATGTTATGGAAGTAAATAAACAGTTTCTGATTGAAGTGAATGCTCACTCCACAAGACAGAACTCATGCCTGGTACCATTAACTGGACCAAGCCCCCTAATGCTGTTATTCTGCTAAATGAACATTATAATGGACTTCCTTGTAAGTCCTTATTTGTATAGCCTTAGATTATTACATCTCTCAGCCCTCACCAGAGAAGGTTCTTTTTGCTGATTAACACAGAAACCCACACCCACAACTGCAGAGAATGAGAGGCTGTGAAATTGGTCAGCCCTAAGAGAGACATTATGTCACATGAACCCCCTCCTCCTCCCGAGGCTCTACACAGAAGATCCGAGGGATCTACACAGAAGATCGTCAGAGCCAGGTATGTGAATAACCACAGTGAAACAGTATTTTCTAGACCCAACAAAGAAATCAAACTTAAGAATTCAAAGCAGCTGTCACTGCATGCACAAGACTTATATGAGATCAAACCAGACAAGATCCCAAAATGGAAAGGGAAAGGGGAGGCGCTCAGGAAGTCCTGCACACAGCTGAGGAGTTGTGGGAAACAGAGAAGTCACCTGTAGATGGTTCTGCACTCACTTACACAATGGCAGCCATAAGTGAACTCAGCTGGTTTAAAAAGAAGATCACATAAAGTTGGAAGGGAATTGGCGAGGGAGGGATGGGGTGAAATTAGAAAGGAGGAAATTAGGAGGGATTTGGTAAAAAGGAAAACACATATTATGCATTATTAAATTCTCAAATAAAAAAATAATTATACCAGGAGTTGGGGATAAAAGCTAGTGGTAGTGTTTGCCTTCTTTCCAAGAGCCCTGGGATAATGCCTAACCCTACAACAAAGATTCAATATTAAAACATGCACAATTGTGTCCTTACAGATTCCCTAAAAGATACAATGTGGCTATCTATTTATTTATTTTGACTTACATATTATTAATAATGTAAACACAGGTACAAAGTATATGAGAGTACTGTGTATGTTACACACAAATACAGTGTTATCTTGCATAAAGAAACTGATGGGTGTGTTATCTCTTTCTCAAACTTATCTGCCATTTTGGTTAATGCTTATTTATGCTAAATGCTTTATTTGGCTACTTCTATAAGCCCTTAAGAGTGAACTACTGTCATCTAAATACTCGTTCATGTCTTCATCGTGCAACTTGTTACAGTAACTCAGGTACCAAGGAGGAGCAGGGAATGGAGAGGGCCCTAAATAAAGGAATGGATATCTACACAGAGAGATTCTGGACCCGTGATTAATATTCCTAAGCGGGGGCTGATTCTTAAATAGGCATTGTCTAGGGTTCCCTGTCTAGAGGGGAGGTTCCATTTGAAAACACCACACATCAACTGTGAACCCTACAGACTGCCACTCTTCCCGGGGAGAAAAGACTCCAATCAAAATGGAGCATGGCTGAGTGTGCCTGGGTTCACACAGAATGTGAGAATTTAGTGATGCCTCTGCCATTAGCCTCTGGGGCAACTTCAGTGCAGTCATGGACTACGCCTGAATTCCAAATGCTTGTGGGTAAAACGAGCTTTCGAGCTGTCTACCAAAAATGTTTACAAAATTTGGTTGCACTTTCTTGGTCTCTTTTTAAAATTGTAATGACTGGCTTCGAAATCCCTTTAGTCTTTTGAAGTTGAAGCTGTAGGTCAGTGGTAAGCATTTGCATGTCATATCCAAGACTCTGGGATAAGTCCCTAGCCCTGAAGAAA